CCGAAGTCCGCCTTCTTGAAGTCTAGGGCACAGAGCTTGCTGTATAGTTTCCTTGCTGCCCCGTGGATCTTGAACTCCACCGTGTCGTGGTCACTGCAGCCAAGGCTATCCTTAAGTTTCACATTGCCCACCAGTCCCTCCCTGTTGGTGAGCACAAGGTTGAGCATGGCACCCCTCCTTGTCGGCTTACCTACCCACTCGCTCACCCAGGCACTGATCACCACTCAGGTGAGGTCCACACCAAACAAGACCAGGTCCCTTTCTGGAGCCATTCTCCATCACAAAGGCCTCCTCCTCCTCTCCACACCTAAGCAGATTACCCAGTTCTCCCCCTCACGGACAGGACAAGGTCTCCTGCACACCTCAGGCAAGTACCAATGCCAGCAAAGCTGCCCTACACCCATTAGTCTCTGCTCCTCCTTCACAGTAAAGCCTTCTAGAAGTTGACACCAACCCCCGAGCAAAAGCATATGGGCTATGGTCCTCATCCCACTGAGCCCTCCCTTCTGTTCACTGAAACCTCCTGCGCAGCTCCACCTACCTTGCCTCCCACAGCCACAGGCCTGTCGAAGATGGCATGCATGCCTAAGATGGCAGATTGGGGTGGGTTAATGATAGGTGTCCCAAAGAGTGACCCAAAAACCCCTCCGTTGCTGACTGTGAAAGTGCCGCCATCCATGTCTTCTATGGCCAATTCGTTCTTCCGTGCCTAGAAGAAAAAGTAAGGTCTTAGAAAGCCACACAGATCACAGAAGGCAAAGGACAAGGGTTTGGACATTCGCTCTCTCCAGGAACAAATGCTGATGGCAAGAGCTTCGCTTATTGATCTGTTCAGCTGAAAACCAGAACGAACCACTCGAAAATCCATTCCGTCTCTAGATCTGAACACTTACTGGCTTTGGGGAAGGATTCCATTGCCTTCACTTCCAACTCCTGCTTTTGCAAGAGACAGACACAGGGACTTCTACCCCAGGGCACTTCAGCCTTGCCCTCTAAAGACAAAGGTGAAGACGCACCATGTCACTAATGCATAGTTTGTGGTCTTCTGGAAGGGCCGCAAGTAGATAGGCCTGTCCTGTGAGGTGCGGGTACAGATGTAACTGGATCACTCCCCACAGCACAACTCAGTGTGTTAGAGGTCAGAGATGATGACACAGAGTGACTGAATCAAATTCGTGCCTATCCAGCACCCCCAATTCTTCCCATTCATCCCAACCCTCTTCAGAAAAACCTCCAACTTTCCTTACCTTCTCCCCTAGCTCGTAGATAGCACGCTCTATGTCAGCAAAGTTCATGTTTTCTACATTCCTAACGACAGGGACCACAAGACCCTAGGGAGAAGTAAAGCACACGATCAGCAAATTCACTGCAGTGATACACAGATAACTGCTATGGGGCAGGAGCCTGGCCTCAGCCCAGCAGAGCTCCTGCCGCCTCCTCAGCACACAACAGGTGGTTGGCAGAGCTCTCTCGCACCCTGGCAGCCTGCTGGGAAACCTGGCATGACATGCACCAAGGGCCGACCCCGCAAATGAGACATCAACTTTGTCTTTGTAAGCCTGTCTCATAAAATCAACCAGGTCTGTCTGGATCCAGCTCCACATCCATAAAGGCAGGTGAGGCCCTGGGAAGAGTTCAGCTGCCACCTCTTTCTCTGTGGAATCCCTTTACACTGGACCTCCCCTAGACCTTAGGAGCAGTGACAGAACTTCAATCGTGGGCAAACCTCTGCCTCACAACAGAACCAACTAATTCAACATCTGTATCTCTATTCCATACTTTCCGTGGAACAGCATAGCAGGGTTAGCCAAAGGACAGGACATCCAAAGCTTTTACTGTTTACGCCACATCCTCACAGGTGCATGAAAAGAACGGTTTCCCTAACTTGGCCCTACTCATTAACCACTGAGATTTATATTGACCTTGTTACTACATCTTCTAATACAGTGGCAGAATACTCTTGGTCTTCCATCTTCTCCCAAAACCAATCTCAGCAGTCCAGATTGTATCAGGTGTCTCATTTAGAAGATCAGTCTCATCAGTAAGTTTCCACTGCACAGGAGCTCAGAGCTGAGTTGGCTCAAAGTATATGATCATCCCAGACCCGAGGCTGCAGGAACCATGGCCAAAGCATCCAAGATACCTACCCGGGGAGTTGCTACAGCAACACTGATGTCCACATAGTCCCTGTACACAATCTCTTTGGTCGTATCATCAATCACTAGAAGGAGAAAATAGCTGCGTTACACATGCAGTACCCAAGAGGCCAGAAGTAGCCACAGAATCGTAAAAACTTGCTCATCTCTAGCTTAAACATAACTCTACAGAAGAATGTGCCCTCCCTGTATCTGTGGGAGAAGCATCAGGACAGACAAAAAGGAAACACAGTCCAGACAGGTCAGTCCCCCTCAGATATCCTCCTGGTTATTCTTCTTTTCTGGGTTTGAGCAAGCACCTCTGACAACCCCCAAGAACTGCATCACACCTACAGTGGCTACCTCTACACCAACCAGCAGGCTCTTCCCTCTGTGGGCTGCGTACGCATGGCCTCAGCCCCACTTCTGGCAACCCCTTCCTAATAGAGCCCCTCTGGGCAAGCTGTCCTCTACCCACACAGCAAAATCAGCAAAATCAGCCCCAGCACATAGGACCGTCCCCCCTTTTTCCGCATATTTGACTCGCTTGTCCAAGCTATTAGCCCTGCCACAGACTTGGCCACCTGCTTTCCCCCACTCTGCCACGCTTACTGGTAAGATGTGCCACTCACCAGCGAGGGTCACCACTCACCTGCATTCACAACAGGCTGGTCCTGCAAAGCAAAAGCTGCAGCCTTCACAAAAGCTGACATGAAACCTAGCTTCAGGTTGTGCTTTTTCAGGAAGGGATCCTTGTGTACGGCTCTCATCTCCCGGATGTTGCTGCAAATAACATGACAACGCTGGTCAGCACAGAGTCCAAGATATAACACTGTTCCCTGGCTCCATAAAAGGTTTCAGTGCAAACCCGCACCACCAACTGGCAAACACCCAGTCTGCTGAAAAATCCTTCAAGTGTCACAGGTGAAATGGGTTGACAGTGGCTCTAAGGATCCCATCAAAAGATCTAACAGGAACTGGTCCTGGACCACAAACCTGATCAACAGGACAGGGTTAATCTGCTTGGCCTACACCGCCAAGCACAAAAGCAAGATGGAGCATGGCACGTTTCCTGCTTAGGCCTGATGTTGCCATTGATTTTCTGGAGACAGCAGAAAAAAGACACCAGTGTGGCACCACAGACAGCAACTGCAGCAGTGGCTGGGCCAACCCTGGAAGGGTGAAAAAACAGGAAATGCCAAGAGCAGAAAAGATGCACATGGTGATTGAGGCAAAAGACTTCAACCGCTGTGCGAGTCCAACGCCAGCCAGAACAACGATGCCTCCGTACCCAACTCTTTGGCTTTGGGAGTTGAGTTAATATAGAAGAAATTTTTCCAGTGCTATGGTAGTGGGTGTCAACCCACCCACAGCCTACAACCAGACTAATCATGTTTCCCCACTGCTTCTATTTATCAGAACTGAGGCCATTTACAAAACCTTAAGCAAGCTCTTTTAAGGAAAAACTAACAAGCTCTGCCTATTCCAGGTTAATACCAGATGCTGTGGAATTGCACAGTCCATCCCTCCCCCCTCCAGAGACCCTGAGTCTTTGAAGAGACAGTTTCAGCAAGGGCCAGGGGTCTCCATGGTTTAGAGTGTTTGTTTTCCTGCACCTAACCTTGTTTAGGGCTAGGATTACTGCCCAAAGACATTAGTGCCTCCCAAGACACAAGGAATGCAGCAATGAGGACGAGGTTTGCTATGAAACTGGCTCATTACGGCTTCCTCCTTTCAGACGCTCACCCCCGCGGGAAGCAGGAGGCCCCAGCACAGGTCCTCACGAGTCAACCTCACAGCAATCAATCCAAACCAGATTACCAGATGCAATGAGAGCCCGAGGCCAGCGTAAAGCGACACCTCAATGAGCCTCTGAGAGGAGATAAAGCTGCAGCACTTCCCCTCCAATCAAGACTATTTTGCCAACCTTATTGTTCTGAGACCCAAATATTTACATGTTTTGTCTTAAGGAACAGAATAGGATTTCACAAGGCAATTTGATTTGGGCACAATTTCCCCTTAATGCACTGTAACATAAGCCACCCACCCTCCAAAGCCATTAGTGCGCTTAGTCCGTGCAAGCACTTGAGTCAGGAGACCCCCACCTGCCTGGAGGGGATGGGGAAGGATGCTAGTCCATCTCCGGAAAGCTGTACCATCCAACAGCAAGGGCCTCGGACCTATGTACTGCTCACCTGAAAGGCTGATGAGCCCTGAGGAACCACCTCATGGGAAGCTAAATATGCCCACCTCCAACAGCAGTAACCTGGTGGGGTGGAAGAAAGCAAATGCTCCATCTTGGTGTCTCCTAATAGCCACTACCTAAGTGACACTAGTCACTCCTGCTCTTCTGCTTGACATCTGCCAGTCTTCAACCAAGAACCACACAGATGAGGAACCAGGGTGCCTCTTTTACAAACAGCAGATGACTCCTGAGGAATGACAGGCCATTAGGAAGCTATGTACCCCACACACCACGACACCAACATAGCCCTGATGGAGCCGCACACCTAAGAAAGAGGTCCCAAAAGATGTGTTGCCAATATCTCCAAAGATAAGCAGCAAGGTCTCGGTTGCTGTTTAAAGATGACTGCCTGCATCTGTTTCTACTTGTAAAGGGAAAAAGAGGTCTGCTCCTCACCTCATATCGATCTCATTGAAAGTGGTCAGCATGGCACAAGTATTCTGAGCCTCTTTCAGCCGCTGAGCAATACGCTGACGCATCCTATTCATTTTCACCTGAAAATTAAAAAGACATAAGTGGAAGCTGCCTCAGGTTCACCCAAGGGGCAAAACGTAGAAGAAACTCAAAGATCCTTCTTGTCATCTGGTTGACTAGTAATGGATGCCTAAGGCCAAGGTTTTGATTCCAGGTCTCCCTGAGGAGCGTGACAGGCTGAGGAGCTGATTTCACTACGGAGCCGCCCAGCTCAACACACAGTTTCTAGCACCAGGCTAATGTGAGAAGAGCAAGACTGCTAAGAAAGCAGGGTGCTCAACCAAGTTCTCTTAAGAACCTACTAAGCAGGTGCAGCAGCCTCAGTCCTTTGCTGAGGGCTTGTGGACAGATCAAGCAGATCATACTGAGCCTTCTGTGCTCAGTCAGGAGAGCTGAAGAGAAGACTTTTGCCTAGAAAAGACCTGTGTCAGATTCAACCTGGCTCCATGCCACCTCTCACTGGTGCCCTCATGTAGAGCACTTCCCCATCTGTCACAGCCCCACCGAGCCAGACACGAACAGGTAGACATGGACACATCTGGAAAGCTCAAAGCTTATACCAGAGCAAGTTATCACCCAGCAACAGAAGTGCTGGCGGCAAGGCCTCTATTCCCGCAGCTTACCCTATGCTCTGATCTGGCACCTTTGCTGGGCACTGCCTCCCCAGGAGGGGCTGCCGCTGGGGCTGCAGCTGGCTTCACCGCAGACACTGGGGGTAAAGAACACATCAGTCAAAAAGGGTAGACAGGGCTTGATCTCAATGCCCTGAGGTAGAAAACCCGTTTGAGCTCCTTGCTCAAGCAACGTGGCACAGAAGCAGCCTTGAATTGGGCTGTGCAGGTACGACACATAGCGGAGCTCTCCAGTCTGGAGCACGCAGAGCAGTAACACGGAGAGGCCTTCAGCACAAACACCAGACTGTTTTCTGTCTTTAACCTTATACACTCTCCCAAGGAAGAGAGGCTTGAAAATTGGAGAAAACGGCTGTTGCCTCACCTGGTTTGCTGTCAATGGGCTGAGTTGACACAGGTGGCACTGGTGGCATGGTAGTGGGAATTGGTGCTGCAGGAGGGGGAGGAGCAGCCGCCGCTGGCTGCAGGAGGAGGAGGGGCTGCAGCTGGTTTGGCCTTGGCAGGAGCAGCTGAAAGACAAGGAAGAACCATGGTCAGTGCAACAACGACTTCCACTGTAAGGGATCTCTGAGTCCAACCAATCTGATAAAAGTTAACTCTCCGGCAGAGTGCCTTTACGTTCTCAGCACTACTGAACTGATAGGACCCACCACAAGAGGACCCCGCGGTGGAAGTGTCTGACCCACTGACACTCTAGATTTCCTCACTGTGCAGGAGTCTGGATGCTAAAGAGAAGAGGGTGGAGAAGGGAGTTATATCAGGCGAATTCTCAACTAATATTAGCTCAGAGCTGCAGTCTCCTCCAGAGGGAGCAAAAGGAAAGTTCTCCCCTCAGAAGGACTAAAATCATGCTTTTCTAATGAACAACAGAATAGGAGTATTTTCTTCCAGCTACAGAGGCACATTTAACCTCTCTCAGGAACCCTCTAAGTGCCTTGTTTCCATCTTCAGAAAAAGATTGGTGGAAACAGGAAAGAAGCCTGTGCAAGTTATACATGCTGGACTTACCTCCAGTTTTCCTGAGTTTGAACAGAGGTGTCCCCCCTTCCACTTTGCCACCATCAGGTACCAGAAGGGCTTCAATCACACCAGCTGCTGGGGCTGGAACTTGCACTGATGTCTGCAAAAAGGAAAATCAGCGAAATTCCCCCAAACATTGGATGGAGAACAAGCGCCCAAGAGAAGATGCCAATATGCACGGGTACACACTGTAATTTAGCACAGACAGTGGCTCTATCTTGCACCATTTGCACCAGTTTTCACGCCCTCCACCAGGATTTTGTGCCAATACTTAGAAGTTTTAGGAGATGCTGGCAGTGTAACGTATAGCCTGATCTTCCTGTTCCAGGGTACAATCAAGAATTGACCTGCTGCCAGCATTTTCCTGACAGCAACACCGGAAGCAGAGCTTGGCAGGGAGTTTTAGCAAGAACTTCAAAGCTTAAGAATCCTTTAAGGGGAGAGTAAACTTAAAGGCTAAATTTAAAACAATCTGAAGACATCCTATGGCTCTGCAGATTTCTTCTCTGTTTAAACACAAACAGGTTCCAAAGCTTAGAGCAGTGAAACTGGAAGGAGTTGAATTGCAGTTCCAACAATCAGCACCACTGATGCTTAATCAAATGTATGAGGAAGGAAGAATCACCAAAGAATTCTCACTTAAGGCACAGCCAATTTTCATACTAGATGAGAAAAGCTTTTATCTGTGAAGGGCGCAGGAGACACAGGCAGGGCCTGCAGGCTCTAGGAGCTCTTAGCAGGAGAGGAGCCATACAGAGTACCCGCTACAGCACCAGAAAAAGTTTTGGTCCAGAAAACTCCTACCTTATCTGTTTCAATCTCACACACCACTTCATCTTCCGCCACTGTGTCTCCAACAGCTGAATGACAGATATGAAGACCACTGTGAGGAGGGAGGTGTGCTTCAGCCTCCCCTCTTAACCCACAGCAGTCTCCCGCACTAACCCAGAACTTTCTCACCCCAGTTCTCCACAACTTCTAAACAAAAACCTAGCTCAAACATTCAATCTACTGCACAATCAGAGCCTGATTCCAGCTTAGACATCACCCCTCACCCAACATCACCCATGACAGAGAGGTGTCGAGGCAGTAACTGCAATCCTTACCCCTTAGAAGAACTGCAATGAACTGCCTCATTTGTCACAGACTGAAAGGCACAGAGCAGGCTGTCAGCCATTGAGCTACAATCCACCCCTGAGCTGTCCAGTGCAGCAACTATGGCGCTGAGAATTTCAGGGAAGAGGGAACTGCTTACCTTTCTCCCACCTGACATCTCCTTCCGTGACTGACTCTGCAAAGGCTGGTGTGTTCACCGTAACCACGTCATCCCCTGTGAGAGAGACAGACAGACTTGAACGCATTCAGAACTCAGAACTTATGGCACTGCTTCATTCTTGTCATCAGGACTCTACTAGAGGGGGTAGGTCAACAGACATCAAATGCTGGCCTTCTCCTTGCTTCAACACTGATTAACATTTAAACACAAAGAAATCCCCATCTAACTGAAAGTCACGTTGTGACAAGGATGCTAGACAAAATCTTTAGGGCCCCACGACATAAACCCTCATCCATCCGTCGAGGCAGGACAGCAGTGGGCCTAGAACAAGGACGGAAGAGAGCTTCAGCTGTTGTCAGGACGGCAACACGTAGCACAAGAGCCATCCTGCTGACTCCTGACTTTTTACTTACTATGTACTGCGGTGGTTCTGAAGTAACGGACAGTGAAGACACTGGAGCTATTTACTCTGCAGAAAGAGAGAAAAGTATCAACACAGAAATATGCTCCTCTGCAGGCTGCCAGCACCAAACTCAAGCACAGAATTTACATCTGCTTAACTGATCTGAAAGGCTGCTCAGCTGTTCTGGTGTATTTCTTCCAAGGGACTCCTACTTACAGTTCAAGCTGCAACAATCCCACAAAGAAAGGAAACATTACAGCTTACCATCACTAGTGCTCTCAAACTCAGTGAGAACTGACATTTATGGAATTTTCATTTAGAGAGACAATCCAACAGAACCTCTGTGGTTTAAATGCTGATAAAAGGCTGATCTAGCCAGCACACCCTGTGTCCAAGACTAGTGTAGTAACCATTTTCTACCTCCAGATCAGGACTGTCATTTCTACAGAAGTTGCTAGATTGCTCCAAAAAAAGAGAAAGCACCATACATTGCCTATGGCAACATCTCCAAGTAACAGCTATTTCTCTCCACCACATCCCTTCACAGGGAGCTGGCAATCCCAAGCGTTCCAAAGGGTGTTTTTTCTACCTACTGACACCATATTTGGAAATCTGAAGCAAACGTGCTTTAGCATTTCCTCTAACATAGGCTACTTGGTGCAAACAGACCAGCATTTCAGGCTTTTATGGATGCACTCTTAAGGTTATTTCCTCAAATACATTTTTACACGACCACCTCAGCAACGCAAACCTTGTTGTATGAACGACAGCTTTCTGAACCACCCCATTTCTCCTGACAGAAATCCTACCAGGAGGCCACCATAGAGCAAACAAGACTTCTGGTCAGATAATCAAAGGGTAGAGATCCATTTGTCACCAGTCTCCTCATTCCTGTCCCTTCCCTGCCTCGGTATTTGGTTCCAAACAAAGCCTATTTTCTTGAAGCATGCCGCAGTTCCTGATCTGCAAACCCTAGAGTTTGTAGGGGCTAACTCAACACTTCTATGATATGCACAGGGATTTTATAACAGCCAAGCATATTCTGCCTCCCAGCCCCCCAGTCTTATCAGGGCTAGAGCAGCCCCAGCCTCTCCACACGACAGCTTTCCTGGGGGTACTTACACAAGCTTCCTGCTGTTGGTGTAAGCCAGTCCCTGGCTCCCAGCCACACCTGTGAATGAGAATGGTGTTACCCCACAGGAACGTTAGCCAGACCTCAAGTGTCCCTGTCAGGTAAGTGAGCGCCGAGGACACCACTCTCCACCCTGAAAGAAGCTTGGGACTAAGTGGGGAATATAGCCATATAGAGGCAGCTCAGTGCCATCAAACCTGCCCAGAGCTTGCCAAGAACAGAGGTCTTATCTTTGTCTAGATTTACAGAGATGGGAAAATCAGTTATATCTTTACCTCAAGGTGAGTAAGGTTAACTTTGAAAAGGGCAAACAAAGCAGCAGCTACCCTAGTCAACAAAACCAGGAAACAGCTACGAGGGACACCTCCAGAACTGCTAAAACCTTAGCTGCTGCTGAGTTATCTTCATCAGTACAAAGAGGTTCCTAATAGGAGCAAGACATCAGTCTCCCAAGAGGCACCCCCAGGAAGCCTCACAGTCACATGGACAGGTAAGGAGGAAAAAAGAATGAAAACAAGGTGCAGGGCAGAGCAGCAAGCCATTATCATCCCTCTTCTCTGTCCACTCCTTGTCCCAAGAACATTTCTTTTTCGAAACTCACAGCAGGGAGGTACTTGCATAGCTTCTCGGTTTCACATACTCCACTGTCCCCTTCCCACACTGCTCACATGCCCTGACACTGCAATTTTTATTATGAACTGAACTCCTGTCCTTTGTCTCTTTCAGGGCACTGGGCAGTTTTCCAGGCTGATCTTAAAGAGAGTCAGCGTAGCAACTGAACTGGAGAACATAATTATCTCAATTACGCAATGCCAGAAGGAAGAACCATTTCCTCACTTGATTTTTTAAAAAAGCAATACAATTTTGACACCATTCCCTACTAAAGAGCTGATATTGGAACTCCAGAAACTGGAAAAGGTAAGCAGATTTAACTGGTTTCTCACAGTGGAATCAGAAGCGAGCAACGTAACGCTATATAAACATAGCACATCTAGAAAAAACAGAGCTCTGGGAAAATCCAGTTTAAGCACTGAAGAGGAGTTCACAGGCATACTAGATTTGACATGCCACTTAACATTCACCCATCACTTTCAAAGGAGTTTATTAGAGAGGTAGGCTCTGCAACAGCGTGTGTTTCAAGCACTGCAATGCCTGGAATACGCCATGCTGCTGCTGTGAAATCTTCACCAGAGCTGAACGGATCAGGCAGCATGTACATTAGGCAAAGGAGGCACTCACATGGAAACAGCTCATTTCACCAACTGTTTCTTCATTACATGATTGAAAGAAATAAACCCCAATCAAATGTATTACTAATTTCCACCATCAGCTCTGTTCTGTCTAGGTAGTTTGAAATGAAATAAAAGCGTAAGACTCACCAGAGAGAGAGCATCTTGCCAGAGTACAGTTCCCCTGTCAGAGAGAAGAGGAACTATCAGTACTGCAAAAAGACGGACCTCCCTTAGAAGGACTTCGGTTTTCCCACGAGACCTGGACCAGAGACAGGCCCCACCATTCCCATGCTCCAGACTGCAGGCATGCTATTTTCCCATAATGTGCAAGAATGGGAAATGGTGAGAGCATCTACACCCTTCTCTTTGCTTTGTCGCCTTCCAGGATGCTTTCCGGCGGAGTGATGTTAAACCTGATATACTTGGTTTTCAGTTGTGGCTCCAGCTGTTTTGATGTTCTCATGCACACTTTCCTTTTTAAGAAGGAACAGGTTTCTAAAGACTCATTCACTAAAATTTGCTATGAATGAAAAGGTCAAGGGTAGCTACTGGATAAGATGAAAAAACATCCCATGATGTTTACTCCTACAGTCATGAATTCAGCATCTGGGTTGGTTTGTTTGTTTGTTTTAAGGCTATGAGGCCTTTGAACTCCAGAAGGTCAGAATTTCCCTCAGTAGCAAAATTTCTACTGCCTTCAGTAAGCCAGGAATTCCTCCTGCTGGGGATGTTTCACTTCATACCCATGTAATCATTGACTGCATTCCCAGCTCAGCATAACATTTCTCAAAAGACATTTCATGACACTCCAGTTACTTTCCCTATTGTTATTATACATTTCTCTAGCATTGAACCTGCAGATCTACAGAACCTAAGAACTCTTAAAAAGCTATAGGAAAATAACAGAGTAATCATGACTAAAAGTCAGTTGACTAGTTTGGAAAAAAAGCTACTCAACAGCTCAAAGCACCCTTACCCAGCAGCTACGGTAAGAGGTAAAAATTAGATTTCATTCACATCTCCAATGTCTGAAGGGAAGTTTGCATATAAGCCCTGATTTCAGTCTCGCCAAAGCAAGCAGGATGGGATGTAACCAACCTTAAAATAATTTGTGGAGCTGTGTGTGATAAGACAACATAGAGATCAAGGACCAAAGAGATACTTCAGCTTGTCACACCATCTACAGGACTGAGTGCTGCAGCGTGCAAAAATACATCCCGTGAATATTGCATATCCTCAAAACTACTAACAGGCCTGGAATCGACCTCGTGGCAGTTTAATTATCCAAACTTAGTGATGGATTTGGCTTCCCGGATATTAATGCACAGTCAACCCAATGATCAATGGGCAGTTCAACAGGGTTACAATCAGCTGTGCGGAGGATGCAGGCAGCCAGATTGACTTACTGCTGAGCCAGCCTGGGTCTGGCAGAGCTCAGGAGCTCCAGCACAGTGTCACGCAGCTACCCTGCTTGCCAGTCCACTGCAAGGACCAACAATCCTGGACAGACAGCCCTGCAAAACCGGCTTCTGGCAGGACCCGCCGGAGCCCCTGCCCCAGGTCTGGCTGGGGAGGGATACCGGGTAGCACTGCGCAGACTTTGCAGAGTCATCGTGAACGCCACAACGCTTAATCTTGGTGCAGCACTGGCCCCCTGCTAACTCAGATCTGGTTTGGGTAGAGCCACCCCTAAGCTGGTATCAGTAAGACAAACTCCAACCTAACTCCACTTGGTCAAGCGTCTAAAGCACCACAATCCTCAGCATACGTTAGTATTCATATTGATCACATCCTTCCCAGTGTCTGTAGTGTCCCAGATAATATGAGGTCAATCACAAATAAAATATCCAGCCACCTGAGCTCCCCTCTGCCCATTAATGTTTTCCTGGGTGCTTTATAAAAAAAAACGTTAAAGCTATTCCTAGCATTCCAGACAATAACTTGTTAAGAAACCGGAACAGCCTCAGACTGAAGCAGAAATAGCCAATTTTATTTGCTCAGGACCAGTTTATTGTAAGGTTAAAAAAAAAAAAAAGTTTAGAAGGCCTGTGCTAAAATAAATTGTGAGAAAACACATCTGCGGCTCTCTTTCATGAGAGGTGCCAAGTCTGTGTTCCACAATTGCTACAAAATTAAGGAAAAAGTTGTTATCACTCTACTTTTCTGTCTTTTATGTTAAGAAATGAGGGAAAAAAAAACTACTGTGATGAGGAAGCCACTAAATAAAAGATACTAAGACTACTATGTCTCGTGTTCTGCAGATCTGCTGTGTGTCCATCACTTAACCACAGCACCTTGGCGATGCACATGCAGCTCCGGGAGATGAATGACAGGGCTGTTTCCTGTTCCCTTTTTCCCTGAAGGAATCACTGCGATTGCACCTGCTCCTGGTTAAAGGAGATTTTAGCCATTTAGCGCCATTACCTGGCTAAATCTGCCCTCTGCCCGATCCTGGAGCTTCTTCAGTGAAAATGGAAACACGTAGGTTTTGCGAGCTGGTGTTAGAACTTTGGGTCACTTTAAAAAGACAGCCTTCACTTGGAGAAACAAGTCTTGGTCTAATTAGCTAGTGACTCACATACCAAGTGATTAATTTTCCCCTACGTTCCATATGACTTCGCAGAATTGTTTTTATAACTGCTATTAGGTCAAAGTGACCCTGGCACACGGTGCTCCAGGCTGTACTTTTCAAGGAGCCATCACCTTCCAGTAGGTCACTACACACTGAAATAAATTCTGGAATACATCAGCTAAAGCAACAGCCTGTATACCCAGAGATTTCTTCTCCAACAGGGGAGGGAACAGGGACCAGCTCAGGAAAGGACACTAACTGAACAGGAGGGTACAGTTCATTTCAACAGAGGCAAAACAAAAGCCCAGCGCCGAGCAGCTCCGATGACAGGCAAAGCAGCAATCGGTTCTCCAGCCCCGGCTTCTTCAAAGCAAAGAAGCTGCTGCTTTAACAACAAGGATGAGCGCAAACCACTGCTACACACAGAAAACCCACTGCGTGTCTTTCATGGATTTTAACATAACTATATATAGCATGGCAGGGCAGATGCTAAGATGGGATGGAGATAACAGTGCTGAGTGGTAAAGGATACGGTTACTAAGACGATGGGCTGAGAAGTCCTCCAGCATGTGGGGAGGATCAAACAGGGAAGTTTCAAACAGAAAAAGTTCTTTACAAACTCTTCCCCAAATAAACAGAAGGACTTGATTCTCAAAGCACTGAATGCAGCTCCTGATCAAACCATCCTTTTTCAGACTAGCTCTTCTCCGGACTTTTTCAGGTCATCCTTCAACAGCTGCCCCTCCCATCCCACTGAGTCTTACATGCTCGGATGCAGGCTATTGATGCACATTCATGATTTCTACTTGATATATGAATCCAGGACCTTTTTCTCTTTTGTGAGATCATCGAAATCCAGCCAACTCTTCCCTATCCTTGTTTTTTCTTGCTGACTCCACTGTTCTCCCATTTAGCCCTGCACTTCTCCCACCAGAGGTTTGCCAAGCTTATTTTAAACTGCACTATAATCAATCGGTACCTACATATATGTATAACAAAACGTAACTGTATGGTTGATTATAAATTGTTTATAGTGCAGTTGTATACACACACACACACACATATATCCATAAACACATATATCCAAATCTGTCTGTAGCACCCGGAGACAAGCGTTTAACATACAACAGCCCTAAGGGGAAGCATGACAAAGTTCAACGTTCAACAGTACAATTAGCTGTCAACACTTGCTCGCCTACATTCCCATGATGGGTAAAATCAAATCTCACGCTCTAAGGCTTCAGCTGGTCATCTGGAAGAGAAGTGATCTTTTTTCCTCCTGTAGGCATGCATGCCTCTGTATGTATATGCACCCATACGTAGGTATGTATGTGCACAAAGCTATGCGTGTTTGCTGTGTAAGCATGAGATGTGGCCACAAGTCAGCAAACGACAGAAACCAGCTGGTGAAGAGCCGCCCCGGTGTCGGTGCAAGTAGCTGGCTCTGGCTGTCTGACTCTGCAAGCCCAAGGTACCCCCACCAGCACCGGTTACTGCCGTTTGCATCGGCTGAAGGACTGCTTTGAAAATCGAGCGCAGGAACTAAATAAGAAAACAGACACCGGTTTATTTACCGTTTCCGCA